ACATGGTGGATGATGAGTCTCAGGAGAGGTATATTGATATTTTAGGGCATGTCAATATAAAAAAAAGGGTGTTGGGTGTTTTGAAAAGCATTAAGAAGAACAAGTCCCCAGGACCTGATGGGATCTATCCCAGAATGCTGATGGAGGCAGGTGAGGAAATTGCTGGGACCTTGTACGAAAACTTTGCATTCTCTTTAGTCACAGAAGAGGTCCCAGAGGACTACAGAATAGCTAATGTTGATCCTTTGTTTAAGAAGGGCACATGGATAATTTGGGAAATTACAAGCCAGTGAACCTTGCATCAGCGGTAAGGAAATTATTGGGGAAGATACTTAGGGATAGGATTTACTTAGTGATAGACAGCCTGGCTTTATGTAGGGAAATTCCTGTATCAAACTTGATTTTTCTCAGGAAGTGACAAAGATGATTCATGAGGGCAGGATGGTACATGTATTCTCTTTGGACTTTAGCAAGGTCTTTGACAAGGTCCTTCATGGCAGACTGATACAAAAGGTCAAGTCATATGGTATCCACAGTTAGCTTGTAAAAGGGATACAGAACTGGCTTAGTCATGGAAGACAGAGTAGGGGTGGAAGGGTGTCTTTTCTGACTGGAGATCTGTGATCAGTGGTGTTCCACAGGAATCAGTGTTGAGACCTCTTTGTTTGTAATATACATAAATGATTTGGAGGAGAACATAGACAGACTGCTTAGTAAGTTTGTGGATGACACATATTGGGGGGAGCTGTAGACAGCAAAGAGAATTGCCAGATAAGTTGGAGACTTGAGCAGGGAAATGGCAGGCAAAATTTAATCCAGACAAATGTGAGCCGATGCATTTTGCAAGATCTAATGCAGGAGGGAAAAATACAGTAATATGGCAGAACCCTTGGTAGCATCAATATACAGAAGGTTCTAGGTTTACAGGTCCACAGTTCCCCAAAAGTGGCAACACAAATTGATAAGGTGGTCAAGAAGGCATATAGCATGCTTACCTTCATCAGTTGGGCATAGAGTATAAAAATTGGCAAGTCATGTTGCGGCTGAATAGAATTTCAGCTAGGCCACATTTGGAATATTGTGTACAGTTCTGGTCACTACACTTCAGCAGGATGCGAAGGCTTTGAGGAGGGTACAAACATGGTTTACCAGGATGTTGCCTGGTTTGGACAGTAATAGCTATGATGAGAGATTGGACAATCTTTGTTTTCACTTCAATGTTGAAAGATGATGGGCGACCTGATAGAGGTTTACAAAATTATAAGAGGCACGGATAGAATGGATAGTCGGAAGTCTTTTTCCCTGGGTAGAAATATCAATTATTAGGTGACATAGGTTTCAGATAAAAAGGTGTATGTTATTGGAGAGGCGTGAAAGGCAAGTTTTTTTTAAAACAGAAGTTGCTAAGTGCCTAGAATGCACTGCCAGAGGTGGTGGAAAAGGTGGATACAATAGTAACATTTAAGAAGAATCTTGACAGATATACGAATAGGCAGGGGATAGAGGGATATGGACCGTGTTGAGGCAAGTTTTTTAGTTTAGAAAGGCATCATGTGTCAGCGCAGTCTTGGTGGGCCGAAGGGCCTGCTTCTGTGCTGTACTGTTCTTTGTTCTAAGTCAGAAGAATTCTAGAAAGGCAACCAAAGATTGATCAGAGGTGAAAGGGGAGAAAGGTCTTTGGGAACTCAAGCAAACAAAGACAAAGCTAAAAGGAAAAAGGTCCAATTTTTCAAGACAATAAACCATATAGCACTTTGATTTGCAATAAATGCAAAAGCTCCTACATCATTTCAAATACCTGTAATCATTAGAAAATAGATGTATTTTCCTGGTGGGACAATGGTCCAATAGATTTGTATCAAATTATGAGTGCCTCAGCATTTCATTGTTTAATGCATTTAATACATATATAATACAAGATGAAGTAAATACTAACACTAGAACATGAACTATTTCTCTGTCCATCTAGTGCAGGCCGATGGTTAAAGGAATTGAAACTTACATAGTGTGGGTCTTGGCATTTTCTTTCTGGCTGATTTGTTTATTTTAAAATATGGGTGAGGACTAATGAGATTAGCAAGATATTTGGAAGAGACAATGTGGCAAAATTGATATCAACAATAGTGGCATTTTGGATTTAACTTCCCACTGTGCCGATGGAAGAAATTCTTAGGCCACGATCTAAGACACTGAATAAAAACTGAAAGAACTGCAGATGCTGTAAATCAGGAACAAAAACAGAAGTTGCTGAGAAAGCTCAGCAGGTCTGGCAGCATCTGTGAAGAAAAAATCAGAGTTAACATTTTGGGTCCGGTGACCCTTCCTCAGAACATCGAAGACACTGAATTTGACTTTCCAAATGCAGATGTTATAAATCACAAGCTTAATCAAGGTTTTGCATCAATTGTTGAATTATAAGGATGTTAATTTCTATGTTCACTTAACACACAACTTAACCCCACCATCACCTCTCTGAACCCCCAATGTCTCTCAACTCTGACTGTTTATCCAATATCCAGTAATGGATGAATAGAAATTTCCTCTAGTTAAATACTAAAAAGACTGAAGCATTTTCACCAATCCCCACGACAAATTCCATTCAGTGGGCTTTGATTTCATCCTTCTCGGAGGCTAAACCAGAATGTTCTGACCCCAAGGTGAGCTTCTCACCATTAAATCAGCACCATTGGTTAAGATCACCCATTTCAGTCTATGTAACATTGCTCTGGCTCAGTTCACTTGCTGCTGAAACCCTCATCTGGGTCTTTGCTGCCTCTGGGTTTCACTATTCTAATACATACCTCATTGGACTACATTTTCTCTTGCGCAAAATCAAAGTCAACCAAACCCCACTGCCCATATCTTTAGTCACAGCAAGTTGCATTCAGTTTTCACCTATCTTCTCAGGCCTACACTGCTGCCTTGTTAAGCATCTCATCCACTTCAAAATCCTCATCCTTGTTTATGCATTTTTTCATATCTTGTTAATCTCCGATCTCTCTTTTCATTGAACCTCTTTTTATTCCTGATTTTAATTGATGCTCCACTGGCAGCTGTGTCTTCAGGTAAACCTTAGGCTCTGGAATTCCCTCCCTACATCTCTTTCCATCTTTGACACTCCTTAAAATCGCTCTTTGACCAAACTCGTTTCTGGGGTAAATATTATACAGTTTATATTATTATTGTTTAGCTCCTTGGGACATTTTATGACATTGGAACTGCTTTCTAAACAGGATTTGCTGTTGACTACATAAGGACTTTGAACCAGTGAACATTACAATCTTCAATTTGTTTCGACACTCCTTATGGTTCAAAAATTAATTTTTGACTCATTTTGTAAATTCTGAAAAACATTACAAACTGAATTTTCCTATAATTGTAAGTGTTAATTTTCAATGACACAGCCCCTGCTCAACTTGAATTGCTGGTCAATAAAGGGGATAGGACACAAGTGGAGGTAAGGTATTCTAGCTGACGTTTTATAAGCAAGAAAGATGTATTTGCACTCAGGGCAACTGAAACAGCTTCCCACCTCAAAATGCATGCAGAATTGTCCAATGGAGAAGCCTTAATGCCAAGAGCGCTCAGCAGTCTGAAAGAGAAAGTTTGCCCAGGTCAGACTATGATGGAAATTCATGATGGATAAATGTCAAGACTCGGAATAAGAACTGCAGATTCTGAAAAGTGGAAACCAAAAGAGATTACTGGAGACTCAGCAGATCTGGCAGCTGGACTCGAAACATTAACTCTGCTTTCTCTCCAGGTGCTGGCAGACCTGTTTCTGTTCCAAGACTGAGAATTCTGTTTAGTCAAGCTTCAGGATGCTGAACCCCAGCCCACATCACATAGTGAAGTGGAGATAACAGGTTGAACGTAGGATTTTTTTAAATCTGTAGCAGAGAAAGATTTTTATTTCAGAATTGCTTCAAGATTTTTTAATGAACTTATGAATCATAATCAAAATGCATGAGCTTTGGAATAGGATAAATTTTCCAAATAAAAATTGATAAGCAGAAGAATTGTGGCATTGTTAAATAAGTAATTAAAATATCTAGAAACATTGAGGATCTTAAAAAAGGTGCAGTTGGCAGAATGAATGGAGAAATGAAAGCTGGACTATTGCACTTCTGCATGGTGCTTGTGAACTGCATCCTTCAGAAGGCAATCGCCAAGCACCTAATTTCTTCCCAGTCGGCAGCCAAGCTCACTGAGTGTGCCACTTGCCTCATGCTCATGGGATCCTGGAAGTTCCTCTGCTTTGTTACCTGCACATGGTATATTTGATCCACCTCTCCCTACTGAAGAGCTTAAGTACCAGCACCATGTCCAACAGTCAAAACATTAAAAGAAAAATTTAAGTTCCAATATATTTTAAATACATTCCTGAGGAGACAGAGAGTGACAAAACATTAATTGAATAGAATTCCATAGGCCCAGAGCAAGAATTCCACTAAATGGTAGATATTTCTTATCCCTGAAGGAGGGAAGGTAGGTAGTCAGGGCAAATGGGTTTACGGTACTGGCAGCTGAACAAGATTAAAATTTGTGATGTGCATCACATATTTAACTCTCCTTTCTATTAAAGATTCAATTTAATCCAAATGCTACCCCCTCCCCACAAATTCCATTGTCACAGTCTAACACCATCCTAATATATATAGTCATTTCAAATGCCTTGACACACTTGACTGAGCGGCATTTCATCCCTATTCCTAGTTGTCCATGAGGTGACAGTGAATGCCCTCCTTGAACCACTGAAGCCCATTTGATGTAGGTACACCCACATGTTGCAAGATACTTTCCCACTGAAAGGAAAATGTGAGAAGAATGCCACTTTGAGCTGAACTTGGTACTTTGGACACAAAAAGGGAATATCCTCATGAAAAATTCCAGTTCTAATCAACTAGAGAATGAATGAGTTTCCCCAAAATAATTGAAAGATACAATCCACATTTCTAAACAACACTGATAAAAGATTTCATTAAAAGAAAGCTAGCACATGATTTGTTTGAGTCTTTATTGAAAGCAGCCAAAGTGGAACATTTAATTACTCCTGCATTTTTTCAACTGATTCTTCCTTATATTTGCCCTTATCTTTGCCAACTTGGCGAGATTTTGCCTTGCGTTCCAGGATCTTCTTGCGATCTTTGTCCAGTTTTAGCCTGGTAATAACTACCTGTAAGAAATTACATGAATTTTTGCTGTTAATTCTTCATATACAACAATGCTAATCAGAGACCAGTATGAAACAGAGAGAAACAGCCAGTCAGTAGCTATAAATAAATGCAGAGTTCTAGTATTTTAGATGCACTCCTCTTTCATGCCCAAAAATCTCACCCCCACCGGAATAAAACCACCACCTATCATTTAAATCCTACTTAAAGTGTCATAACTGAAAAAAAATCTCAAAATACAATGGTTTATTTTCAAGTGCCATGATTTGAGAGTGAACAAAATAGCCAGATCATAAACAAAACTGTTTTCACAGTAACTGAATGAGGAATGCTGGCCAGCATACAAGAGACATACAAGTTTACAGAATAGGAAGTTATTCATCATGTCACCAGAGATGGCTTTGCTGAAAAAAAAAAGGTGCCAATCAAATGAGCTGCATTAAATATTTATCCCTTTCTTTAAAAGTTAAATAGTTTCTGTAACATATTGAGCTAAGAACTAAGAGTTCAAGAATTAAAACCCCATACAATCCAAATCCTGGTCCAGTGTACTTTACTGCCAAATCCAACACTCATTAAACCTAAATAGAAGTGAAATACTGAGGAGCGGAAACAAAAACAAAGTGCTGGAGACACAGGTCTGGCAGTATTTGGGGAGAAACATGTCTTTTCCAAGACTTTGCACAATCAGGATTTAGGTCACTTTCTGCAGAATAACAAACCTCTGAGCTGCTCTTGTAGCTACAATGCTTATGTGATAGGTCAAGTTAAGTGTCTAATCAAAGGTAATCCATGGGATGTTGATGGTGGGTGATTAAACGATAGCAAAGCCATTGAAGGTCAAGGTAAATTCCTTTGATCATTCCCCAACAAGAGACCTCCCCACTCTTATCTGCTTTCCAGAGGGACCACTCTCTCCGTGACTCCCTTGTCCGCTCCACACTCCCCTCCAGCCCCACTAGACCCGGCACTTTTCCCTGCAACCGCAGGAAGTGCTACACCTGCACCCATACCTCCTCCCTCACCCTGTTCACCTGCACATCTGCCAATGTGGTATACTGCATCCGCTGTACCCGGTGTGGCTTCCTCTACATCGGGGAAACCAAGCGGAGGCTCGGGGACCGCTTTGCAGAACACCTACGCTCGGTTCGCAATAAACAACTGCACCTCCCAGTCGCGAACCATTTCAACTCCCACTCCCATTCCTCAGACGACATGTCCATCCTGGGCCTCCTACAGTGCCACAACGATGCCACCCGAAGGTTGCAGGAACAGCAACTCATATTCCGCTTGGGAACCCTGCAGCCCAATGGTATCAATGTGGATTTCACAAGCTTCAAAATCTCCCCTCCCCCTACCGCATCCCAAAACCAGTCCAGCTCATCCCCGCCTCCCTAACCTGTTCTTCCTCCCACCTATCCCCTCCTCCCACCTCAAGCCGCACCCCATCTCCTGCTGACTAACCTCATCCGCCCCCTTGACCTGTCCGTCCTCCCTAACTCCCCACCTACACTCACCTTTACTGGCTCCATCCCCGCCTCTTCGACCTGTTTGTTTCCTCTCCACCTATCCCTCTTCTATCCGCCTCCCACTCTCTCCCTATTTATTTCGGAACCCCGTTCCCCTCCCCCTTTTCTGATGAAGGGTCTAGGCCCGAAACGTCAGCCTTTCTGCTCCTATGATGCTGCTTGGCCTGCTGTGTTCATCCAGCCCTGCACCTTGTTGTCAGGGATTAATTGAGATTTTGTATTCTCATAAAGCACAGTCCTTGAATTTTTTTTAAGGTGGAGGTGGATGTTTCCTTGTTTAACAAGAATCTGAGAGGATATACAGGTCTACAGCATGGAAAAAGGCCCTTTGGTCCAACATGCCCATGCCGCCCAGTTTTCACAGTTAAACTAGTTCCATATCCTTCCATACCTATCCCATCCATGTCTAAATGTTTCTTAAATGACAAAACTGTACATGTTCCACCACCACCTCTGGCAGCCTGTTCCAGACATTCACCATCTTGCGTGAAAAAATTGCCCCTTGGACTCTTTCGTACCTCTCCCCTCTCACTTTAAACCTATGCCCTCAGTTTTAGCCTCCCCTTACATGGGGAAAAGCTGTTGGCTATCCACCTTATCTGTGCCTCTCACAATTTTATAGGCCTCTACTTGGTCACCTCAATCTCCTACATTCCATGGATAGAAGTCCCAAGCTATCCACCCTCTCCTTATAACTCAAAACTTCCAGTCCAGGTAACATCCCAATAAATCTTTTCTGCACTCTTTCTAGTTTAATAATATCCTTTCTACCAGAACTGTACGCAGTACTCCAAATGCAGCCTCGAAGTCTTGTACAGCTGCAACAATGCAAACCAACTTCCCTACTCAATGGTTTGATTGACGAAAGCAAGCATGCCAAAAGCGTTCTTCACTGCACTGTTCACCTGTGATCCTACGTTCAAACAGCTATGAACCTGTACCTCTAGATCTCTCTGTTCTATAACATTCTCTAGGACCCTACCATTGACTGTTTAGTCCTGTCCCAGTTTGACCTACCAAAATACAACATCTTGCATTTATTCAAATTAAACTCCACCTGCCATTCCTCAGTCTACTGGCCTAGTTGATCAACAGCTCACTGCAATCCCAGATAAGCTTCTCCACTGTCCACTACACCACCAATCTTGGTGTCATCCGCAAACTTACTAAACATACCTCCTAAATTCTCATCCAAATCATTCATATAAATGAAGAATAAGAAGGGAACCAGCACCAACCCCTATTGCACACTACCGGTCACAAGCTTCCAGTCTGAAAAACAACACTCTAGCACGGCCTCTGTTTTCTAACACCAAGCAAATTGTGTGTCCAATTGGATGGCTCTCCCTGGACCCCATGGGATTTAACCTTACTCAAACTACGATGCAGTACCTTGTCAAAGGCCTGGCTAAAGTGCATGGAGATGTCTACCACACTGCCCTCATCTACTTTCTTGGTAACCCCTTCAAAAACAAAAACTGTATCAAATTTGTAAGACACAATTTCCCATACACAAAGACATGCTGACTATCTCCCATGAGTACTTGCCTCTCCATTCTGTCTCTCAGAATCCCCTCTAACAACTTACCTGCCACACACATTCGGGTGACCGGTCTGTAGTTCCCAGGAATTTGTCTGCAGCCTAACGGCCCTACAAACTTCCTCCCTAGCCTCCCACGATGTCCTGGGATACACTTCATCAGGTCTCAGGGATTTATCTATTTTATTGTGTTTTAAGACTGCCAGCATCTCCTCTTCTGTAATGTGGATTCTCTTTAATACACCACTGTTTAGTTCTCAAAGTTCCCTAGCATTCATACCTTTCTCAACAGTAAGGACTGACAAGAAATATTCATTTAGGATCTCATCCATCACTCGTGGCTCCAGAGACAACCATGTTGATCTTTAAGAGGCCCTTTTCTCTCCCTAGTCACTCTTTGCCCTTCATGTACTTGTAGAATCTCTATGGATTCTCCTTTACCTTATCTGCCAAAGCCATCTCTTGTCGCTTTTAGTCCTTCTGATTTCTCTCTCAAAGGTACTCCGGCAACCCCTGTACTCAAGGAATTCACTTGATTCCAGCTGCCTCTTCTCCTTTTTCTTGACCAGGGCCTCATTAACTCTCATCACCTAGGGTTTCTGACTCCTGCCACACTTACTGTTCACTAACAGGAACATGCTGGCCCTGAACCCTAATGAACTGAATTTTGACATCACTTTGCCTGCAAACAGCGTGCACCCCCCAATCATCTTTTGCAAGTTCCTGTCTAAGACCATCAAAATTGGCCTTGCCCCAATTTAGAGCTTTAACTTGTGGGTCAGACCTATCTTTTTCCATAGCTATTTTAAAACTAAAGTAGTTATGATCAGTGGTCCCAAAGTCCTCCCTCACTAAGACTTCTATCACTTGCCCTGCCTTATTTGGCAAGAGGAGGTGAAGTTTTGCCCCATCTCTCGTGGGACGTTTCCTTTAACACTACAGCAGTCCCAGTCAATGTTAGAAAAGTTAAAATGCCCCACTATCACAACCCTATTATTCTTGCAGCTGTCTGCTATATCCTTACATATTTGTTCTTCTATCTTCCGCCGACTGTTGGGGGGTCTATAGTACAATACTGTCTTCCACTTTTTATTTCTTAGTTCTATCCATATAGATTCAGTAGACCAAGGTCATCAGGGTAGGTGGGAATGGGATTCGAGGTTACAATCATATCAGCTGGGATTGACGGGCTGAATGATCTACTTCTGCTCCTTGTTTGTATGATGGTACATGATGCAAGTACCACTTAGCAGCCTATGAACATCGTCCAGGTCTTGCTACATATTTAGGACCGCAACATCATCTGAACAGTTGCGAAAGAAACTAAAGAATATGGAATCATCACCAAATAGCCTTGTGATGTATAGAAGGCCACCGCAAGCTGTATTAATTCTGGAGCCAAGCAGGAAAGGCAGATGCCAAAATGAGCAGATTATTGTTGTACCTGTGTGCTGCCCTGTAAAACATAGTGACACTTCTCATCAATTCGATGATGACTGAAATCAGACTGATTGGGTTATCTTGGCTGGTTTGGATTTGTTCTGCTCTTTGGAATAAGGCCATAAGCCAAGCAGCGTTTCATCCTCTGCTTAGCATTGTAGCTGCACTGGAAAAGCTTGATTAGAGGCACAACTAATTCTGAAACACAAGTTTTCAGTTCTAAAGTTGGGAGCTGATAACATTTTCAGTGTGCTAAGTAATTTTACGATAAAACCTTGAATAAAGCATACTGGCTGGAGTTTAGCCTCTATGATGGTGGGTACCTCAGGAGGATGAAGAAATGAATTCACTTAGTACCTCTAGCTGAAAATAACTGTAAATATGGTGGTCTCATCCTTTAAACTCAAATATCATGCTCGGAGGACAGGGAACGTTCACGAAGCAGCCCCATTCTTTTAATTATTTAATTGTCCAGGACTAATCATGTTCACATGTGGTAGGTTTGCAGAGCCTGAATTGACTTGTTAGTTGTGGCATCGCTTCTCTCTGCCCATAGCAAACTCTAATCTAGATTTGTTTCATTAGCTAAATTTAAAACTTCTATCTGCTGTGGTGGGATTTTATTTGGCATGTGGGTGCCACTAACAACTCCAGCATTAGTTGCTCATCCCAATTGGCCCAGAAAAGGTAAGAAGCTGTTTTTTTGTTTACACGTAAATGAGATAGATTCAGTTGTTAGGGAGTACCATAATTTTGAGCAAGCTCATGTCAAACTTAATAGATCATTAGACAGTGTCAGAATTATTAATCTCATAATATTACTAATACAGTACTTGGGTATGGAACTAACCATGGTTGATTTGCAGCAGAAAGCTACCTGACCAGACATACAAAATTGGACTGGACTACCAATCTGTGTCTCTGTGTTGCTTGTAGAATTTAACCATGACAACTTGTCCTCACCTCCAATCAACCTAGGATGTTATCTGTGAAAGGTATTAGATAGAAACCAGGTTTTGGAAATTCTCCCCCACCACCCCAAACAAGGGATATGCGCATCATACAAAGAGCAGAACATAAAATTCTGCTCAATAATTAACTTGGGAAACAGGGAGTTATTGAGGAAAGCCTATTGCAAAATGTCACACTCAGTTACTTTCAGGTTCTAGAACGCTCTCGCTTAGCCTCGAGATGTCATAGCTGTAAGTGGGCCATCGTGCCACTTTGAGATCAATAGCTTTAACAATGTACGTACTAACTATATGCTAAGAGACCGGGTAGATACTTTATTTACATAACACGTGGAAATCTTTTTCTGTAGCAAATAGTAAAGACCTGGAACCCACCATCTGTGCTTCTACTACTCTCATACACAATGAGTGATCTCAAAAGAAAAATTAGCTAGACACTCAAGCATAATAAACTTACAAGGTTGTGGGGATAGAGCAGGGGAATGAAACTGGCAGTATTAATTTGCAGACAGCCAGGATGAACTGAAAAACCTCCTCCATCATAATTACTCTCATTTATTCATGCTCCTTAAATTTTCATTTGTGATGAAGACAAACATATGCCCCATCTTTGTTGTTAGGTCACAGGGTAACCTATACGTGGATATTTCTGTTGACTAATCAAACTGGATCCAGACTGTTCTATACAAAACCTGCAACTGTAAACATTGGATCTAACCTCAAGCAACTCACCAGTTTATAAGAAAAACTCAAAACTTCAGAATTTTGAAAACTATAAAAAAAACTTATATGCTAGTTTGAGAATGGCAAATTCCAAGATCATTAAATATTGGAGAAAAACAAGAGAACATTCACAATGACTCAAAATATCAAGAGTGATTTTGAAATATGGTGACCTTGAAAACAACAAAACATTAATTAATTTGCGGACAAGGTCTCACACCAGGAATGGCAGGGTTTATTGAGGAATCAACGTTGGCCAGGTTTCTGATTGAACTTCCATGCTGCCCTCTAAATAAACATTACATGTTTTTCCAATCTTCACTTAAGGCAATGTCTCATCCTCAAGCTGGCATTCCCTGCACTGCACTGAAAGGATCAGCTTCAGCCACACGCTCAAATTAACTTTTGATGTATAGTTGAAACTTTTCTCGTCACAATAATCAACCCAAAAGCAGGGCATCTGTTTAGTTACTCTGCTGCCCACATTACTATACTAATTAGACAAGATTCACTTGGTGATATTAACCACACAAAATTCTGCCATTCATACCTTGCTGGGGTGAATGCCAACATGAACTGTGGTACCATTGGCTTTTTCACGCTGCACACGCTCAATATAGATTACATACTTCTTTCTATATACTTGGACAACTTTACCAATCTGTTGACCCTTGTAATGTCCTCGGACGACCTGCACACAAGATAACAAATATCAAACATGTAATTTTAACATTAGAGTTATTATAATTTCCTGTATATGGATGTTGTTTATTGAAACCCTGTGCTTGTGTTTTAGCAATTTATGGAAACTCTCAGAGTCATACAGATGTTCAGCACGGAAACAGACCCGTCAGTCCAACTCGTCCACGCCAACCATATATCCTAAATTTTTCCGAGTCCCATTTGCCAGCATTTGGCCCATATCCCCCTAAGCCCTTCCTACTCATATACCCATCCAGATGCCTTTTAAATGTTGTAAGTGTATCAGCCTGCACCACTTCCCCTGGCAGCTCATTCCATACAAGTACCACTCTCTGCATGAAAAAAAAAATGCCCCTTAGGTCCATTTTAAATCTTTCTCCTCTCATCTTAAACCTATGCCCTCTAGTTTTTGACTCCCCACCCAGGGAAAAGACCATGGCTATTTATCCTATCAATGCCCCTCATGATTTTATAAACTTCTATAAAAGGTCACCCTTCAGCCTCCGATCCTCCAGAGAAAACAGCCCCAGCCTACTCAGCCTCTCCCTTTAGCTCAAACCCTCCAATCCTGGCAACATCCCTTTAAGTCTTTTCTGAACCCTTTCAAGTTTCACCACATCCTTGCTACAGCAGGCAGACCAGAATTGCACACAGTATTTCAAAAATGTCCTGTACAGCTTAAGAAGAAAGTATTTGCGCTTTAAGTTCATCATCTGATGAAACAGTTTCATTGTTTTAAGGTAAACAATTATTCTTGAATTCCTGATGCATTAGGAAGTAAGAAGTACAGTGTTCTCGAGTAAATCCGAAGATTGCTAGCTAATAGCAGCATGTTGGCTCAATGGTTCCAGGGACCCAGGTTTGATTCGTCTTGGGCGACCGTCTGTGTGGAGCTTGCACACTCTCCCCATGTCGGTGTGGGTTTCTTCTTGGTGCTCTGGTTTCCTGCCATAGTCCAACGATGTACAGATTAGGTGGATTGGCCATGCTAAATTGCCTAGTGTCCAGGGATGTTCAGCTTAGTTGAATTAGCTATGGGAAATGGAATGTTCTTCAGAAGATTCGATGGGGTGAATGGGCTGATTCCACAGTGGAAGGATACACATGCACAATTTACAAATATGTGCAGAGTTAAAGAAGAACATTCACAGGCACTTCACCGAAGCAGAAAAAAAAAGAGAAATTTGAATTAAGGAGGCCTGGACGAATGATCAATCAAAAGAGGTGAGTTTTAATGGAAGGGTCGCAAGAGAAAAGACTTAAGGGACAAAATTCTAAACCATCCTGGTTGATCAAAGGAACAGTCACCAATAGGGAAGCAAAGGGAATTGGTAATGCAAAAGTGTTAACAGTCAGAAGAACAAGGGTCTGAGAAAGTGGTAAGATGTGACACGGGAATTTAAACCTAGGAAGCATAAAGGTAATGGATGATGAATAGAATATGTTAAAGCAGAACAGTGATAGTTCATCTATCCAAGCACTGTCAATAAGTCATCTCATCCACACTAAATATGATAAAGATTCCTCAGGTCAAGAGGAGGGTGCCAGGTCAAAGCCTCAAAGCAAGCTGCAGAAAAAAGCTCCACAAAAAATAGAAACAGAAAATCAACACTGACTGGATAAGGGAATGTTAACTCAGCATCCTGAAAACCTAAGTACTAGACTGTATATGAGTCCAAAGGCAGACATAAATATAATGACGGAAGCAGCACAACTGGTCACCTGAACTTTCAAGAAAGCGATGACAAATAGCACATGCTAATGACAGTACGAGTGTTTACTAGTGTGAATACTTATTATTTCATTCTAAAAACTGTTAACTACCACCAATACTAAATTACACTATAGGTCCACTGTAACACTCCTATATCAATGTGTTTAAAAAAAAACTGAAGAAACTGCTGTAAGTTTGAAAAAGGAGAGAAATTCTGAACTGCACCACTTTGCGATCTTAAAAAATGGCAGAATTCCAAATACATGGGTCTGACAGCATCAGTTCCATGGAGCACACACTTAGAAAAAGACAAAGACAGTCAGTCAGTCTTTCACTTTACAGATGTCGGTTCACGTTTTTTTGTAACTCCCTCTATTTCTGGAATCACAATTATGACAGCCACAGCATCTGCACAGACGTGAACGAAGTGTGGAAGCACAAAATGTTAGAAGCCAATAGTAATCAATATCTGAAACAGAAAGGCTGGGTGACGCTGTAAATGAAACCATGTGTTTATTTCTAATATGCACATTTAATTTAAAAAAAAAAACTTTCTGTGCATTAAAGTCCAGAATTTACTTCACTTACCTGAACCTCATCATCCTTGCGTATGGGCATCGAGCGAACATTGTATTTCTGCCTCAGCTCCTTGGAGAGTGGAGAGGACATAATTTTCCTGCGAATGTGAGATGGAGCATTAAAGTGCCTCTTGCGATTCTTCCTCCGGGAAGATGTGACAAAGGGGTTGAACTTCATATTGGCTGCACACAGGAGAAACACGAACGTTAAATCAGCTGCTCGTTGTTAGACTAGAAAACGTGAGTTAAAGGAATCAGACCAGAGCTTTGAAATATAAGGTAAAGTAAGGCGGCATCAGATCAATCAGGAGATTTATTACACTGGGCCTGAAACCAGCCTCCTGTACCCAATCAGCAGCTGGGTAACATCGGGGACAATGACTCCAGCAGGAATTGGGTAACACCGGGGAACATGGACTCTCTAGGTCCCCGCCTTGTCTCTACCGCCCGCTCTGTGGGCCCCACCGGTTCTTACGTTATACTTCCCATCTAACACCGTTCCACACTCCCTTTTTTAAAAAATATTACCACATATGACCTGCGAATCGGTCTCCGACTCAGTATCTAGGATCACTTTACCGCAGTTAAGCTAGGAAACACGAAGATGTTAACGGATATCACCAGCTCAATCCTTACCCTCCTGCTCGGTCCTCAATGGCCGCCGGTGAAAAGAGAACGTACGCATGCGCGTTGTGTTACTTGTCAGATGTCAAATCTCGCGTTACTGCACGGAGGTTCCTCAGGTGAACTCCAAAAGGTGGTGGTGGTAGGAAGGGGCACCGGACCCAAAACGTTAATGCTGAGTTTTTTCTTCACAGATGCTGCCAGACCTGCTGAGCTTTTCTAGCAACTTCAGTTTTCGTTCCAAAAAGGTGGTGGTACTGGAAAGTGAAACACAACTGACCCAGTGTTAGATAGTACAGTGTAGAGCTGGAGGAACATAGTAGGCCAGGTAGCAGAGGAGCAAGAACGCCGACGTTTCGAATCGGGACCCTTTTCTTCCTGCTGCGTTCCTCCAGTTCCACATTGTGTTATCTCTGACTCCAGCATCGGCAGTTCTTACTATCTCTGACCCAATGCTAGGATAGTTTCTTCAGCATTCCTAGTTTTGGCGGATTATGACCAGAGTCTGGCGTGTGCACTTTAATCGTGGGCAAATATCCGGCTCAAGCGCTTAAATCCAAGTGTAGCCACAAACTTGCACTACTGCACACAAAAGCCTTTATACAAGAAGTGTTTTGGAATGTTTATTAAAAGTGTGACAGCTGGTGATGCCAACATTATGGGTCCAATTCGCAGTGGCTGAGGTGACCAGGAGGTCTGTCCTCACTCTCTCCCCTTCCCTGAAGGATGGTGACCCTCAGGTTAAACTACCAGTCTTTCTGTAAGGAGAAGGTATCTATCATGAAAGTCCAAAAGGACAATGCTAACTTTATTTCCCCCCACTTCTGCATGCAATCCATCTGAAGTTTATGCTCCAGGCATGATTAAATTCACTTCTCATTAAAACAAGAGATAATCAGGTCATTATTCAATGTCAAAGTTACCTGTTCTATTTTCATTGGTAACATTTCTGCAATAGTACTGTTAGTAATATTCTAACCTTGAATTTGTTTTATTCCCACCTCAACCATTTATCTACTTGTAGTAGAATTTTTGTTTTATGTTCCTAATTTAGTTGGTTTCTTTGGAGTGTTTATAATGTATAAAACCCAAAAGAACTGCAGCTACTGTAAGTTGGGAACAAAAACAGAAGTTACTGGAAGAGCTCAGCAGGTCTGGCAGCAGCTGTGAAGAAAAATTAGAGTTAGTGTTTTGGGTCCAGTGATCCTTTCTTAGAACTGCTGAGATTTTCCAACAACTTCTGTTTTTGTTCCTGCTTAAGTGTATGCTGGTTTTGTTCATTGTTATGTCATCTTTCAATAAATAGTTTTTCATGACTTCTTTGACTAATGTTGGTTTCCTTAGAAGTAAAAACACCAAACCTCGAATCAACACAATCTCAAGTGATTTTCTTCAACCAAAACAAATGTCAACTAAGGTGGTACTTAGTAAGTTAACCAGAATGGAATACCTCCTCTAATTTGTAAATCAGTGAATAAAACACACTTACACTCCTTTAAATTAATTCTGCTAGAATTTGGTCAAAATGATTCTTGGATATCAAGCATTTGCTTCTGTTCTCAGCCTGGTAACTTCTCATCTCAAAACTGTCCCTCAACAAGATTAGCAACTCAAGTACAAGTTAGATAAGACTTCTACCTTTGTAAAAACCACATCTAAACTTCCAACTCACCAACAGATTCCAGATGGGCACTCTCCCTCTGTACAGACAGACTAATTCTTTTACCTACAATTTCCAATTATGAAAATCAGAAGTCACAACACCAGGTTATATTCCAACAGTCTATTTGGAATCTCAAACTTTGAGCACTGTCTGTCAGGGGGCAAAGGAGCAGCACTCAAAGTTTGAGATTTAAGAAAAAAAAAATTGGAACATAACCTGGTGGTGTGACTTCTAACCTTGTCCAGCACAGTCCAACAGCAGCATCTCCACAGCATAATTTAGGAAAGCTTGCAACCAGATCTTTACAGTGGCCTTCCTACATTTTCAAAACTCAAGACCAGAACAAAAGCAGGCAATGAGTATATTGACCTGTTCATGTTGAATTACATGTTTAGCTCTGGAGAGTTAAGCACTAATCTTGACTAAAGTGACTAGTTTTTCATACTGTCAGGTTGGAAAAGATCACTCCTCTGGGATTTGGGTGGGGGCAGGCCTTGGTCTGGCTGAGAAGATCACACTTCATTCACTGTGGCAAGTGTGAATTCCTTGCCCTCAATAGAAAAAACACACCAAAATCAGGGTCTTTCAAATCTTTGACAGGTCTATCACTATTGTCAGAGAGACTTCAGCATAGGTAATCTTACTAAACTGCAATGCAGTTTATAAACTTTCTGTAATAGTCAAGAATGGGGGACTCTGTCACATCAAGTTTGAAGAAGACTTGCATAGAAGAAGAGAAAAACCCACCTGTCAAGAACCCAAAGAAAGGAATAGAATGGCATGGTAATAGTGAGTGATAAACGTAAAGGAAGCTCACCTCAAATCACAAGCACTAGCAATGAACTTTGCGTGAACACAGTTATGGTGATCTGAATGGAGGTATTCCAGTCCAGTACTTTTATCCATAGTACCATTACCTGGATGTTTGTGTGGCTATTCAAGAGAATATAATTTTAATATTGATGATATTGGAGTGAATTGAGAAATTAACCTGCAAAAAGATATTGCTTGAATGGGAGACTCCATTACAACACACTTAAGAGAAATTTTGTTGTATCTCTACAAAATAGGTGGCCTGAGACAGCTTCCCCACTCACTACTTTAGCAGTATCATAGACTGTCAGAAACTTAAAGTCTGAGGTGCAATTCAATTAAAATTCCAGATCATGGAGAAATAGTCTTTCCTATTCTTACAGAACCCACAATATATACACTGAGGCCTAAATTTTATGAATGTTTTATCATCTGAAAGAGGTACCAAGTAGTCAAATGTGAATTTAAACAATCCTAGGTATTGATCAAAACAAAAAGTTGCTGGAAAAGCTCACTGGTCTGGCAGCATCTGCTAAGGAAAAACACAGGTTTAACATTTTGGGTCCAGTGACCCATCCTCAGCATCTGCAGTTCTTTTAGCTTTTATAGAGTATTAAGACAACAAGTCAAAATGGCAAATTTTACATTGCACTTTCTTTGCAGAGGTTTATCAAGAAAGTTGCTAGAGACTCCAGCTCTTAAAGAAGTTGCACATCTGAGATTTAAGAAAGGCAATTGTTGAAAAATGGTTATATAGAACAGACAAAAGGGATAATTTAAATGAAAATTTTCATTTAGTACTGAAGGCCTAAAGGAAATTCATACACTGGTTTTGCTGAACTGCCCAAGGCAAGATGACATTGTGAAGAGATAGCACACACTTCTACGTAACACCACACCATCCCCTGCTCCACTGGGTTTGCAAATACATTCTTTTTACGTTGAGTTTCTCAACCTCAAATCTCAGTATTGAGGGAGAAATGTTCACAATGCATTTGAGGCAGTTTCCTAGAACATAGAATTACTTGTAAAGAAACTTTTGTTTACATAAAACAAGATTGGACAGTAATTAAGGGATTACCTAGGACAGGTCACTCGAGGTTGGAGTACAGTGTGCAACTCCAAAAATAATAAGTTTGAAGCCAGTTGCATATCCGAGGGGCAAGTTGGATTCATATTAGGAAACTCAAAACACCCCATCAGTAGATAAATGGCAATTATTACAGATTATTCCTCAATAAATCTACACATTCTTAGAAAGTGAAACCCCAAGAAATCCAATGGATAACAAGGATAATCAGGCAATAATGCAAGCAACACTCCCTCAAAAAAAGTGAAACCAGGAGCATTATTGGAATGGACATTAACCAAATACAAATGACAGAAAAGAAGGAGGACCAAAAGTGATTAAAAGAAAGGGAGACAGTGGTCTGAACACTTGGGTCTCAGATTACACAAAGCCTGGAGGTTTTAGAGGCTGCAGAGACAGCTAAAGCACTGTATACAATTTTCCAAAATGCCCTATCCTGGAATAGTGACAGACATGAAGTCAAAATTCAGTTCATTTTATTGTAGTTCTTCCAGTTTATTAACAGCAAAATCATCAATGCTATATCACTACAAAAGACATATGTGCAAGTGTTTAAAGACTGGCTAGGTTACATTAATTGAAGTTTAAAAAAGTTCAAGGTGAGGAGTTTTCCTACACAAACCATGCATTCAAAACCCTAACATTTGCAATATCATCCAGATAAACTTCAGCTTACATTTGATACCAAAGGCAAGATGAAATTTCAATTCATAGATCTTCACAAGAAGTCATCTTCAATTGTCGGCAATTCAACTTCATCCAAGTCTGCCAAAATGTCAGCATGCACATCAAAGTCAAATAAACCTGCAAGCAAAAAAAGGCAAATTTCCCCAGATAGAAAGACAACACAATGAACAATTATTTTGCATGAGGTTCTTGCTCAAGACTAGTTGCATTCCTGAAAATCTCTCACTTTAACAACTGGATTTAAGTGGATTGATTTTCCCTATTCCACCCAATAAAAACCTTGTCCAAGGTCTTGCAGAATGTTAAACATTAAAAACTGGGTCCTAAAAATTTTTTCAATTTTCATTGCAATGCAAGTCCAAATAAGGTCAGTTTTTCTCCCCACCCATTTGCTTCCTGCTTACCAACCCTCTATCCTTCTTCCCCAATGTCCTCCTTCAGGAAGGATCATGGTGATCTGTGCAAGACAGCAAGAACAGCCTCAAGGTATAGTGTGCAGACACAAGCAGCAATCTGGAAAATTGTCAGCTGGAGGGTTAGCAGCAACTGTGAGCAGGATCATTGCAAAAATTGGCAGCATTGGAGATCTTCATGACAAAATACAAAAAAGGAAACTCTCAACAATGCAAATTCAGGCCTCATGGATGGACATTAAAACCAACCTTAAAGCAAAATTCTGTACTTACTGGATTCTTGTACAAGTGAAGGCCATTTTGGAGGTGAAGGGATTTTATTCAGCACCTTTTCTATTAGTGCTTCTTCTTTCTCAAGAAAGAGGAGTGGTAGACCAGCCAGGCAAGTGTGATCAAGTTTATGTTCCTTTGGCACATTAAAGTTCTCAAAATCTGTAATTAATATTTATAACATTTGGAAAATGTTGAAGTTTTCTTGCTATAAAATGTTGCCACACAAAAGTGCACTATTCATAAAGTAGAAATTTATCCATAAAAGCAAGTTGTTGGGATCAGCAAAGGCAGTAGGATTGTCCATACAAGGGAATATTTTTGAATCATTGGATCCCCTATGCAGAAAGCCATAATCATAGGGAAGGTCTACGCTGATTTGGTTGAGATTTGTACACAGTACACCAATCAGGATGTTCATCCTGAGACAACGACCCACATCGAAGATGCATCTATGTGGTATGTTTCATAGCCTAAAAGTGCTTCAAGGAATTGCATTTAAGCATGTTATTAACTTTATAAGAAAGTCCAAAAAAAGTCAAACATCTAGTACCAGCTTTGTAGTAATGTTAGTCAATATTGGACCCAATTTATGGCTAAAAAAAATTTAATTTGTTCTCAAAAGCCCTTCAACATTAATTTTTTTGTTGTCTTTACCATTAAGTAAAAACCCAATGCTGGTACAGTAATCTTTTCATTGATGTTTACAAGTTATAAGTAACTTTATATAGGTTGCTCGTGGGGAAAATTGGAGAAGAATGCCCTGAGAACACTAGAGGGATCCAGAAGTCACTCACTCCCTCAAAGGCAAACCCTTCAGAATTAACTTTACAAAAAACTTCCATGTTGAAATGGAGATACTACCAGCAATCAGTTTGCAATATACAGTTTTTGTCCACTAAAACACCTTACATTACGAGAAACCCTCAGATGTTGAGCATTGGGCAAAAGTCTTTCTCCACCCCAAAAACATGCACCAGTCTCATTTTTCATGATTTGTTATCCTTTGATTTTACTCTAATCCATATCCAGAGTTTGTTTCTTACCAAGGGGATTGTATGGAATAAAAGTTTCCATTTCAGGGTAGTCTTCAGACTTTTCAGAGCACTTTGGTGGTTCTGAATTGGAAGAGTTTTCAGAGGGCTGGAAGAAGTAGTTCTTAATTAGCATGTTATAGTCAAATGTTTCCAGGCATTTCAAAACAAGCTTTATAGATTACACACTACTTTCTAAAAAAAAAAAACAACCTGTTCAGCGATGTTATGACACCTCAGGCAGGAGAGTCTTGAAACAAAGCACAGCTTCAAAAGGTAGAGTAACTATCATTGTTAGAGCCCCAGGTCTGTTATTTTCTAATCAACATGTTTAAGATGTGTCATAAGCAGACCTCTAAAGCAAGTGGGGCTTGAACCCAGGTCTTCAGGACCAGAGGTAGAACACTACCACTACACCACAAGAGCTGCTTTATAGCCTATAAAGTTTAACTTTGTTTCACACTCACTCAAATTTTCTGCATCCCCCAGCCAAAGAATGAGCAGGACATTTAAACAAAGACCCAAAAAGAATTCAATCTTGCTAAGCATAATCAATTCTCAATTTTTGCAAACTTTGAGGAACAATGCTGCTGAATATACCATAAACAAAATGCATGCATTATGGGGAAAAGCATTGCAGACTTCATCTATATCTGACAGTGTTTTACACTTTATATTAAAACAAAAAGCACAATTCAAGGAACACATTCTAACTTAGTGACTGCCACCTGCCTTATATCCTCATAAGCAGATTTCACTTCCAAGTAGTATTTCCTACTCTAGCCTTCTACAAGAGTTGTTGCTGCTACAGATGCAAGTTATCACCTGCTCATTTAAGAAAAAAAAAAATGAATGATTCTTTGGCTTCCCAAAAGCAAACCTCAAATTTTCCCCACAAAGTACAGGAGTACAAGAGAAAACTTGACAAGATTAATTTTCTCATCTAAAAACTTTGTACTATTCAGTTTGCTACACTAGTGTAGTGCAATTATATGCACCAAAACCAACCTAGTTGCAATAAAGAGACAGCCTCAGTAAAACTCACTCAACACAAACTTTAGTGTGGGAATAGATATTGTTTGGCAATAAAAATAATTCTTGCCCAATGTAAAGGCCTGAACAAAAGTTGTTTGAGTGGTTCTCACCTTGAACTCCTTGGCTGTAGTAATTTGCTAAGACTTAGTCATCCTACCTCCAAAGTGGTGCTGGAACCAGCCAATATTTATACCAAGACAGGCAAGATTAAAACTTCACACAGACACCCTTAAACTAAACCATTCTAGCAAAGTTATTAACTATAGCCACTTTTGCTTCACTCAAGTATTTTCAACACTTGAGCCAATTGTTCCCTGCAAAACTGAAGAATTCCATATTCAATTACCTTAGCAGCTTTTATGATCTGAGCATTGTTTTTCTTCTTGTGGATTCTATCTGGTTTCTTTTTCAGCGAATGACCAGGTATACTGCCTGCTCGCAAAGGACAGTTCACATCCCCTAGAGCTTTTCTTGCAGATGGTTGAAAGTGAGTTGTAGTTAACACCTTTCCAGTTCGTGGAGTCTGCAGTAGAGATGTTTCAATTGTAGCTGAAAACAAGGAGGTTTTACATTCACTTGAGTTCAGTCAATAGTACAGGTTGTCTTGCATACCAGCGATATCAATATATTTGACAAATTTACAATTTGTCATCATTTAAAAGTGACAACACCTCAATAAAGTAATTCAATCTAGGCCAGCCAGATTGAAGAAGGCTTAATGCCATAAACAAAAAAAAGAAGTTTAAGAGTCAAAATTCTGAAGTTGCAATTCAAGAACAACTGAACACCTGGTGTTTGAAGCACTATTTTGAAAGTTGAAACATCCAGCCACAAGGAAATTAGGTCAGATGACTAAAAGAAGGTTTTAAAATTAAAAAATTGATTTAGAAAGATAGGATTAGAGCTATTACTATACATTTCCAGAGGTGGTGAGACTTAAACTCATGTCTTTCAGTCCAGAGGCAAGGGCCCTTTCACTACACCGCAACAGCTCACAAATAAAAGAAAAATATCAATTTCTAGCCAAAAATGAGTGCCACAAGTCAAGGTCATTGTATTCAGAGAGATAAAGATCATAGTAGACTAAAGCTATAATGAAATAACGGCAAGTTAATGAAACCTTTCTTACTCAGGTATACAATCAATTTTTTAAAAAAGCAATTTGAATCAGCCATACAACACTTACCTGAACCAGAAAGTAACTTTGGGTGGTTCTTTGTATGGTTACAAAGTAACTCATTTTCCTTCTCGACAAATATTCTCACTGCCATAATCAGGTACAGATCACTAAAAACAAAACAATGCATCAAGTCTAAGTAAAATAAAGATTTGATGACTATGTAGCCCAGAAATTTAAGTTTAGTTGCACATTAAGTATTTAAATGTGAACATTAAGTGGCGAGTTTAAAAGCTTTAAAATATTTGTGAAATATGCCCATGCAAAACAATTAACACATTCATGGTGGGAACTCAGTTTAGAAAACAAATTTACCCAAGCAGTTAGGATCTGCAAGGGACAACAGTGCGGAGCTGGAGGAAAACAGCAGGCCCGGCAACATCAGAGGAACAGGAAAGTTGATGTCAGAGATAGTAGGAACTGCAGATGCTGGAGAATCCGCGACAACAAGGTGCAGAGCTGGATGAACACAGCAGGCCAAGCAGCATCAGAGGAGCAGAAAGGCTGATGTTTCAGGCCTAGACCCTTCATCAGAAATGGGGGAGGGGAAGGGGGTT